CCACGAAACGTGTGAGGGGTGTGCCAAAAGATGTGCGGGACGCTACTTCGGTGGAGGGGCCACGAAACGTGTGACCGAAAACGCATGCGGCACACCCACTGGACCTTCGTGGAGCTCCCTATGGGCCACGAAACGTGTAAGGTGTCCGACATGGGTGTCGGGACGCATGCGGGCACACCCACTGGGACCTTCGGTGGAGCTCCCTATGGGGCAACGAAACGTGTGAGGGTGTGCCGATTTGTGCGGGACGCATGCGGCACACCCACTGGGACCTTCGGTGGAGCTCCCTATGGGGCCACGAAACGTGTGAGGGGTGTGCCGAAATGGGTGTGCGGGACGCATGCGGGCACACCCACTGGGACCTTCGGTGGAGCTCCCTATGGGGCCACGAAACGTGTGAGGGGTGTGCCGAAATGGGTGTGCGGGACGCATGCGGGCACACCCACTGGGACCTTCGGTGGAGCTCCCTATGGGGTCACGAAACGTGTGAGGGGTGTGCCGAAATGTGTGTGCGGGACGCATGCGGGCACACCCACTGGGACCTTCGGTGGAGCTCCCTATGGGGCCACGAAACGTGTGAGGGGTGTGCCGAAATGGGTGTGCGGGACGCATGCGGGCACACCCACTGGGACCTTCGGTGGAGCTCCCTATGGGGCCACGAAACGTGTGAGGGGTGTGCCGAAATGGGTGATGACGATGATGATGAAGATGGGAGGAGGGAGGGGGCAGCGGGAAGGAAGGAACGCGGGGCGACGTCTCTTCAAAACGAGGACCCAACACCACAGGATGGTTGGGAATTAAAGCATCATTAGAACATCACGCCCGGAGCCCTGGACCCCATTCTGCGCCACTCTTCGAGCCTGATCGCTCTGTGAGGGTCCCATGGGGCCCGAAGTGGTGCGAAAACGCCGGCTGTGAAAGAATCGCAGCGCCAGGATATCTCTGGGGAGGGGAGGAGGAAGGCGACGCGGGGCGCTCTCTCTCTCTCTCTCTCTCTCTTTCTCTCTGTCTCCCTCCAAACCCAAACCCCCGACGTCATGATTTCTTCATGACCTCGACCCCCAGGGGTCTCGACCCATTCCCCGGGACCGGTGTTTTTCATCCTGAGTCGCTCTTGGACGGCCGCGAGGGCCGGTGAGGGCCCCCAAAGGCCGCAAGCAACGAAAAACCTGGCGCCGTGATTTTTTCATGACGCGAGGTGGTCTGGGATCCGAGCGATGCCGAGGCCCTGACAGCCGCCGACCTGCTGCCTGCTCTCGGCCCGCGGCCCTCGAACAAGAAGAGGTCCCGGCCGCCTCCCGTGGGGCCACGAAGCGCTGTGCTGGGTGGTGGCTGACGCATGCGGGCGGTCCCACTGGGACCCTCGGTGGGGCTGTGGGGCCACGACGAGGGCCCCGCCCCACAGGATGGCCGGGAAAGAGAGGCAGGCGGCGCGGCGAGGCGCGCCGTGACCCGGCGGGCGCCACGCCCGCGGGGCGCGGAGGGAGCGCCCGACGCCCCCGCGGGACGGCACACCGAGGGCGACGCGTGCGGCGGCGGAAGGGCGGCCGCCGCTGCGGCGGCGAGCGGCGGCGGGAGCCGCCTGGCTTGCTCAGCCCACGGTCATCGGCCACAGAGGGAGGAGGAGGAGGGGGGGGGAGGGGGAGGAGGAAGGAGGGGAGGAGGAGGAGGAGGAGGGAGGAGGAGGAGGAGGAGGAGGAGAGGAGGAGGGAGGAGGGAGGAGGAGAGGAGGAGGAGGAGGAGGAGGGGGAGGAGAGAGGAGGAGGAGGGAGGAGGAGGAGGAGGAGGAGGAGGAGGAGGAGGAGAGGGAGGAGGACAAGCTAGGTGCGCTCGCGTCATATCTGACATCCTACCCCTCCCTCCCATCCCTTACCATGGCGTAGATGCCCTCTCTACTCGCACAGACGGATGTCGAGCAGGGCAATCATCCCGAAAGGGTACGCGATGCATTGTAGAGCACGGCCTGGCATGGCGTAGAAGAGCACCGCAAAGCGTAGTATGTCACAGCATGGCGTGGCGTGGCGTAATGAAGAATTGCATCACAAAGCTTTGCAACGCAAAGCACGGCATCGCACAGCGGCCCCGAACATAACATTGCATAGCATGGCGTTGAAGACCAAAGCGTAGCATGGCATAGCACGACGTGGCACGTAAGCACTGCATATCACAGCTTCAGCTGAAGGCATGGCATCGCGCAGCGGAACGCAACCTAGCATTGCATTGCATGCCGTGGCATGGCACGGGAAATGACGGCTGCAGCGGGAGCACGATTCGGAACGAGCGGAAGCGCGGAAATGAGGCCAGCGCTGCAGCGGGAGCACGATTCGGAACGAGCGGAAGCACGGAAATGAGGCCAGCGCTGCAGCGAGAGCACGATTCGGAACGAGCGGGGCCCGAAAATGAGGCCGGCGCCCCAGCGAGAGCAGAATTTTGGAGAAAAAAAATGCAGGCGAAAACCCAACTCCGGGGAACCCCGTGTAAAAAACAGTACGCGGGGGGGGGGGGGGGGCGAACACTCCCAATCCGTCATCAGGGGAAGGAGGAGAGTAGTATCATATTGAGTAATTGTGGAGGGGGAGGAGGAGGAGGAGGAGGAGGAGGAGGAGGAGGAGGAGGAGGAGGAGGAGAAAGACGACCCCTCGCCACCGCTCGGACGTCCATTCCTCACGGCACCGACCTTGCAGACGTGCTGCAGGGAGTTTGTGCGTGGATCTCTGCCAGTGCAAAACCCCGACACGACGAGCGAAAAACGAAGCTGAATGGCACGTGGATTTGTATGGGTCATCACTCCTGACCAAGACAAGTCCGCACGAAATTCACTTCGAAATCCGGGAACAATTCTCCAGGACACTCCGGGTCCGTCCTATCGTTTTCCGAACGGAGTCCGCTCTGCGATGTTGGCGCCATGATAACTCCCCGTGCATCGTTCGGTCTCGTGCGTGCATTTTTTTGTTCGCAGGGGGAACAACAACTCTCCCTGATGGCCCGTCCCAGACCCCCGACGTCATGACTTTTTCATGGCGTCGACCCCCAAGGGTCTCTCGACCCCTTCTCCGGGGCCGTTTTTTTCATCCCGAGTCGTTCTTTGATGGCACCGAGTCCCGGTGAGGGCCCCCAAAGGCCGCAAGCAACGAAAAACCTGGCGCCGTGATTTTGTCATGACGCGAGGTGGTCTGGGATCCGAGCGATGCCGAGGCCCTGACAGCCGCCGACCTGCTGCCTGCTCTCGGCCCGCGGCCCTCGAACAAGAAGAGGTCCCGGCCGCCTCCCGTGGGGCCACGAAGCGCTGTGCTGGGTGGTGGCTGACGCATGCGGGCGGTCCCACTGGGACCCTCGGTGGGGCTGTGGGGCCACGACACGTGTGAGGGGCGTGCCGAGATGGTGGACATGCCGAGGGCAGAGGCAAGGGATGGGAGGAGGGGGAGGAGGGGGAGGGGGAGGGGGAGGAGGAGGAGGAGGAGGAGGAGGAGGAGGAGGAGGAGGAGGAGGGGAGGGAGGAGGAGGAGGATAGGGAGGAGGAGGAGGAGGAGGAGGAGGAGGAGGAGGAGGAGGAGGAGGAGGAGGAGGGGGAGGAGGAGGAGGACCCAACGCCGCAGGATGGCCGGGAAAGGGAGGGCCCGCCGCCTCTTCCCCCGGGGGGGGGGGGGGACGGGCCCTGCGCCCCCCCGGGGCCCGCTCCCGGGTGGCCTCGGGGCCCGACGGCAGGCCCCGGGGGCTAAGTCTGGGGTCGGGCCTGTCGGGTCGGCCCCATACGGACTGCCTCCCAGACCACCCCAGCCCAACCCGAAGGCCCGAATTTCGGGTGGGGGGGGGGGGTAGGGGTTCCATGCGTGTTTTTTTCGACGTTCCCCGACCCCCCCCCCCCCCCTCCCCCTGGAAATAGAGGGCAAATTTGGGCCCGTCGGGTCGGGCGAAAGGGGGGGATCGCAAAGGGGGGGTTTGAGAATCGGCTCCCGTAGCTGATTTTCCCGGCGCCTCCCGGCGCCGGGAGGCGCCCGCGTATCGAGGAATGGGCCCAGCGGCGGGGCCGAAACCGGCTGCATGCAGCAGATTTCGTACCCCCCCCTTTCCCAAACCCCCCCTTTCCATACTGACTACCTCCCAACCACCCCAACCCAACCCGAAGGCCCGAATTTCGGGTTGGGGGGGGTAAGGGTTCCATACGTGTTTTTTCGACGTTCCCCGACCCCCCCCCCACTGGAAATAGAGGGCAAATTTGGGCCTTCGGGTTGGGTTGGGGTGGTTTGGTGGGTGGTGACATACAGGCGGCTTATAGAGGAAGGACAAAGCACTGCCCCCCAAAAGCCCAAGCAAAAACACAACACACCAAAACAAACCAGATGCAAAACACAAGCACAACAGAACAGAACAAGAAAGGCCAACAGGTATCCAAAAGTGCTCAGGCACACGCTACAAGTCGTCCCCTGGGGGCGGCCCTGCGCCCCGTGCCCAGTCCTGGTGGCGGGCCCCAGGGGCTAAGCTAAGGTCGGGCACGTCCGCCTACAGGCGGCTTTTCGGCGAAGAAGTAGGAACACGCAGAAAAGATGCAAACATTGCCACAACTAGTCAAAACATAGTCCCTAGACTAGCTGTTTTTGAATACTATCCCGGCGACACGCGAAAATGAAACACAGAAAATGACGAACTTCGAATCCGATAAATTAGTTGCGATAAACGGTGAGGCCCAGACCCACATAGTTAGTTAGCGAGAAAACGAAAACGCCGAGATAATAGTGAAGAAAACGACAACGAGACCCTCCGCGAAACAGAAAATATTCAAGAAAACAAAAAACGAAAACGATTCGGCCTGAAAAAAATAAGATATTCGTTTTCACGTGTCGCTGGGACAGTATTCCTCCTGTGGAGGGACAGGCCCGTCTTCAGGCTAAGTCGAAACACATTCCATCTGCCAGCTCTGGTTTCTGAAGGGTGCGCGGCGAGGACGGCGGCGAGGACCACGGCGACGGCGGCGGGCGGCACCGCCGGCGCGGGAGGGGCTCCTGTCACGGGGCCGTCCCCTTCGGGGATGGCCAGGTTCCCCGCCTTCCGGCGCACGCCCGAGGGGTATCGCCGGCGCACCAC